ACATATACTTGTCCAATAATGGCCAAGCCTAGACCATCGGGCAAAGATGAGCCCATAAAGGATGGAAACATAAAGGCTAGAACGTTCTCGTTTGATGTAACCAAAGCTGACCTTATATTCGATAAGTTATATAGGGATAAGCAAATAAAGCTGAGCGATAAGCACAAATTGCCAAACCCTGAACAAATAAAGGATAAAAAATATTGTAAGTGTCATAATGCATGGTCACATTTGACTAACAATTGCTTGGTTTTTCGTCACGTATTGCAGGATGCTATTGAGTCAGGACGAATTACGTTCGATGATAAGAAAAAGATGGCAGTGGACGAGAATCCTTTCCCACAGCCACTTGAAGTAAACATGGTAACATCTGGATTCAAGAACAAGTTACCAAAATTCAAGTTAGTCATAGATGACGGAGAAGAAGATCCTAGGCCACATCCCAGCGTCTTTGAACGTATCAAAGGAAAAGAACCAAAAAAGGACGAAGACGTCCTGTGTGCAAGATGTAAAAGGAAAGTAAATGGAAAAACGGAGAAACCAGAGACACGGCAGCATCCTCATCGCCCTGTTTTCTTCCCAAACGTTCAGCCTGGTAGAGGACGAGGTACATCATTCTATAGAGGACCACCTTTTGAAAGGCAGTTCAGACCAACAGATGTTGGAAGAACATTTAGGCCGCAACCTCGCCGGCCAAATGTATGGCATTCATTCCAGTACACTGCAGGAAGAGCAATACCCTTCGATGAGATGACCAGGACTCAACAAAGGCGTTTCCAGCGAAACTACGGACGGATGATGAGGCAGCAACAAGGAATGCCACACCCTAAAGCACCTCTACTACTCAAGGTAGCCAATCAAAACGTCCTAAAGAGTAATAAAGAAACTGGTACAGATGAATCAATGAAAGAACTGCCAGAGACCTCTTCTGGGAGATCAAGGTTTGAGAGAGATAAAAGGGATGAAGAAGATCCAGATGTGCCCCTTGCTATCCAATTCGGTACGTTGCCTCCTGTTATGGCCAATAATTACCTACTGGCCAATGAGTTCAAAAATAAGGAAAAAGAAGAAGAGAGGGAGGACAACAAAGGAGAAGCCTGCGTGCTGGTGTGTGAAGAAGTCAGACTTCTGGAGAGGCCTACAACGATGAAGAGGACGATGGGATGACAGACATTGAAGAAGAAATTGATCTAGAAGCAGAAAGGAAAAAGAGAGGAGTATCACGCAATACTCTGTTTAAGCAACTACATCAAGACGGAGTCCGCGAAGTAGACTTATTGGGGGAGCCATCTGGGCTTCCTTTCGATTTCTACGTACTGTATGGGACACTCAAAAGGAAGAAGAGAGTACCTCGCTCTGAGAAGTATGGGTCACCTCCAAAAATAATGCCTCCTCCCACAGGTTGGATGACTGATGAGGAAGCAAAAATAATGCCTCCTCCCACAGGTTGGATGACTGATGAGGAAGCAAAAATAATGCCTCCTCCCACAGTTTG